CATGCCCTTAGATCTGAATCGAACCTGGGACCCTTGAGTCTGCATGCTGACACTCTATCCACTGAACCAAACCGGGTTAGGCAGTTTGTTTCTTATTTTAATGTATTTAATTTATTTTGATGTATGGTGTGAGATAGAGCTCTAATGCTATTTTCCCCAACTTGCTAGTCATTGGTTTTAATACCACATATTGAAAATTATGGGAGCCGAAGCCGGTTTGCCTCAGTGGTAGAGCGTCCGTCTGTGGACTGAAGGGTCCCGGGTTCGATTCCGGTCAGGGGCATGTACGTTAGTTGCGGGCACATCACCGGTGGGGGGTGTGCAGGCGGCTGGTCAATGTTTCTCTCTCATCGATGTTTCTGGCTCTCTATCTCTCTCCCTTCCGCTCTGTAAAAAATCAATAAAATATATTAAAAAAAAAAACAACAAGAAAATTATGGGAATAATTTTCTGATATGAAATGTCACCTTATTGTATGTTGGATTCCCAAATACATCTTGGACCTGTTTCTAGATTATGTCCCATTCAGTGCTCTCTTTCTGTGCTGGTGCCACAATGTTTTTATTTAATTATTGATTGATTTTAGAGAGAGAGGGATGGAGAAAAAGAGAAATACTGATTTGTTATTCCAGTTATTTATGCATTCATTCATTGGTTGATTCTTGTATGTACTCTGACCTGGGATTGAACCCACAACCTTGGTGTGTTGGGACAATGCTCTAAGCAAGATACCCAGTCAGGGTAAGAAACTGGAAGCTTTGTGCATTACTGATGGGAATGTAGGATCGTTCAGCTTCTGTGAAAAATAGTTGGGCAGTTCTTCAAAAAGTTAAACATAAAATTACCATATGAACAAGCAATTCCACTCCTAGTTATGTACCTGAAGAATGGAACACAGGAGTCAAACAGATTTTGTGTACCATAGCAGCATATTCACAATAGCTAAAAGGTGGAACCCACCCAAATGTCCATCAATAGATGTATAGTGATTAAAAAATGGGGTATATGTGAACAATAAAATATTATTCAGCTTTAAATATAATGAAATTCTAGCCGAAACCGGTTTGGCTCAGTGGATAGAGCGTCGGCTTGGGGACTGAAAGGCCCCGGGTTCGATTCCGGTCAAGGGCATGTACCTTGGTTGTGGGCATATCCCCAGTAGGGGATGTGCAAGAGGCAGCTGATCAATGACTCTCTCTCATCGATGTTTCTAACTCTCTATCTCTCTCCCTTCCTTTCTGTACAAAATCAATAAAAATATATTTAAAAAAAATAAAAATAAAAAATAAATATAATGAAATTCTAAAATATATAATAAAAAATAAAGTAAAATTGATGAAATTCTGACACCTGTTATAACATGGATAGACTTTGAAAACATTGTGTCAAATAAAATAAATTACACACAGAAGTTCAAATATTGTACAATCAATTCCCTTTATATCAGGTACCTAGAATAGGCAAATTCCTAGAGATAGATCATAAATGAATATAGTTTTACATATTTAATACACCACTTGTTAATTTTATATCCTGTTTTCCCACATTCCATTTTCCCACATTCCCACATACTATATCATATACATATCTCACATTATTAAGAATCTATACAAACATTTAATAGATGTGATGTATCATCACAAACAATGAAAAAAGTAGAATATGACAGTTTCCAAGTCTAAGATGTCAATTTTAAGATACACAATTATTTTTGGTACCACTAAGAAAAAAATGCTGCCTATTAAACTATGTCTTGCCTTTGGTCTTTAAGACACATCTCTATTTTAGAGATGTTAAACTATGAAGAAAATGTGTTTTAGAATTGATGAAAAAGATAAATGAGTAGCCCAATTGGCATGGCTCAGTGGTTGAGCCACTCAGGGAGTCAGGGCCCATGCCTGGGGTTGTGAGCTCGATCCCCAGTGTGGGATGTGATCAGTTTCTCTCTCAACATTGATGTTTTTCTCTCTCTCCCACTCTGAAAAAAAAAATTTTTTTTTTTAGTATATCTAAAAAATCAACAATAGCCGACTGGTTTTGCTCACTGGATAGAGCATTGGTCTGCAGACTGAAAGGTCCCAGGTTCGATTCTGGTCAAGGGCATGTACCTTGGTTGCAAGCACATTCCTGGTAGGGGGTGTGCAGGACGCAGCTGATCGATGTTTCTCTCTCATCGATGTTTCTAGCTCTCTATCCCTCTTCCTTCCTCTCTGTAAAAAATCAATAAAATATATATTTTTTAAAAATTAAAAAATCAACAACAATGAAAAAATAAATAGAAAAATGTTTGTGGCAGCTATGGCCATGGGTGAATAGCCTTAGTAAAGACCAAAAGATCACTGGAGAAAGAAGTCAAACTGACAATTTATATGAGGGAATTGGCTATAGATGTATATTGTACCTCACTAATAATCAAACAGATACAAATTCAATATATTTTTTTTTCTCTTGGAATGAAATTAGCAAAGATTATAGGAAATTTTTATTTCCAACAAAACATGCAACCTTCACACAAAAGAGATTGTACCTTTTTTCTTAGTAGCACTAAAAATACTCAGATCCTTTTATGATTATGCAAGTATGCACATGCATTTTAGGAAGTTAGGAAATAAAGAAAAGCAAATATTTCTTTTTTTGAGAGAAACATCGATTTATTTTTTTCCACTGATTTATTATTTCATTGGCTGAATCTTGTATGTGCCTTGACTGGATGGGGGATCCAACCCAAAGCCTTGGCGTAGCTGGAGGATGCTCTAACCCCGCGTCACCAACCTGTTGTCTGCGGACCACTGCTGGTCTCTGAGGTCTGAAAGGTTGGCAACCCAGCCACTGCAAGAAATGATGCCATCCACTGGTGGGGTTCAGATAATTTCATCAAGTAATTTTACTTATAGAAATGTAAGCTGAGGAAATTATCTAATTTTTCTATGATGATTATACATTTACTCTTATTACCAAAAAATCCCAGAAAACGTTAGAAAAAAATTAGGAAAATACCTCCAGAAGTGTGGCCATATTATTAAAAGGTAAAAACATGATTTTTGTTTTTAATGTACTACTACCAAGGGGATCAGGATTTTCCCTCATTTAATCAGGAACCAGTGTTCTTGGTCATTTAACAGGACCAGAATGCGTGTGTGGGATGTTCTGAAGGGAGTACCTAAGACAAAAAGGGTTCTTGCTTTTGAATCACCCAGACACAGACCTGCTTTCTGGATCACTCGGGCGACTTCAGCAGAAATGGCTCTCATTTCCTCTAGTCCCTTAGCTGCCTGCCCAAGACCGGCCAGTCCCTCCCCAGCGCTCGGAGTGACATGGCCTTCAGGACCAGGTCCTGCCAACCCCTCTCCTATATTCCTCTCCAGTCTTCTCAGTCCTCCCACCGGACCCTGGCGCGGTGGGAACAGGCTTCGCCCACGCCTCCCTTTGCTGGCCGCGGTAGCCTGTGCAGTGTCCAGCCCTGCCTGCGGCTGTTCATCGCCTGCGTCGTCCGAGCCCGAGGTGGGCGAGGGCACCGATCAGACCGGAGAGGCCGGACCCTGGGGCCTCGTCCGCGACGTGCGGTGCCGCTGGAGCCACGGTCATCACCGCGCCGGGCGCACAGGGTGCCCCGGGCCCCGCAGGACCCAGGCCCTCCAACTGGCAGGCGGACGAGCCCCGTCTGCGCCCTCGGGGCCTCAGGCCCGAGTCCACTCGGGAGACGGCCCGGCGCGCACCGGGGCGCAGCCCGCGCTCGGAGGGCGCAGCGCCCGGCCGCACCTCGTGGGGCGGCCCGCGGCGCGTTCCGGGCCCGCCGACCCTAGGGCGGGGCAGAGGGGTCGCAGGGTACGAGTTCGTTAGGACAAAAGCGGGGTACGGGCCAGAGGTACAGGCACGGGACCCCGCGCGGGCGGGGCTCCAGCCCGCCGGCGGCAGGTGAGGGGAGGGGGAGGCGCATTTGCTGGGACCGGCTCCCGGCGCCGCGGGGGAGGCTCGGGCTGGAGGGTGCGCGGCTCTGCTGCCCTCGAGGCCCCGGTGGTCACCGGCGGCTCTGGGGAGAAGGAGGCGTCCTTTCAGGTCGGCCAGTGCGGCTCACAGGCTGGGGCAGGAGTAGGAAGACGGCCACCTAAGCCAACGCAGGTCCGGGACTGCCGGACGGCCCCCACAGGGATCAGACTGCCGCCATTCCCTCCCCCTCCGGCGGGTTAGGCGAGAACGGTTTGAAGGAAGACGCATGCGCAGGAAATTGAATAATAACTCGCTGAAGCTTGTACAATAATCGCGACAATGCGCAGGCGCAAAACGGCCCGTCGGCTTTGTGCAGGTGGGAGGGGCTGAGCCGCAGGCGCTAGGGCGTAACCACCGAGTGGGCCGGCTCTTGACAGTGCGCATGCGTCGGAGCGCTGTGTGACGCAGGGGGCGGGCCGAGCCTGGCTGCGCGTGCGCAGAGCCTGTTCAAAGGGCCTTATTTAGGTTGCGCAGGCGCCCGCTGGCCATTTCGCTCAGCCACGCAGGAGCCGTGTGACCAGGTGAGTGTGTGTTGCTCGATGTGAGCCGCCCACTGGCCCCTGAGGATGCCGATTTTGCGAGGATTGCTTGCCCCAGGTCTCTGTAGAGCCTGAGGCGGGATGGGGGGAACCTTCTCAAGGTGCGGGCTGCCGCCTGGGCCGCTAGGGCCTGCAGGCCGCGCCGACTCTATTGTGTGATATGTCGGAGGAGGCGGAGCGGAAGCGCGGCCGCCATTTCCTTGCCTCCACGCTGGCGCCAGGCCTGGCCCCCTGCAGCTTGGTCCTCGGCTAACTGGAGCCGAGGGCTGCTTGGGCGGCCCGCCCCCTGGCTTTAGTGTTTGGTGTGGGAGTCGCCGCGGTTGGGACTTGTGCACGGACTTGGTTCTATTGAGGGCCTTGGGCCCGCGGCTGCCCGGCGGGGGGGGGGGGGTCAGTTTAATTTGAACAAATTCCCGGTCTGACCCTCATCCCCTCTCTGCAGTCCGCTTCGGCGCCAAGATCCACTGAGAGACGATGATGCTGGGTACCGAAGGCGGAGAGGGGTTCGTGGTGAAGGTCCGCGGCTTGCCCTGGTCTTGCTCGGCGGACGAAGTGCAGCGCTTTTTTTCTGGTGAGTTTGAAGCGGAGGCCGGAGCTCGCAGTGAGGGCTGCGGGGCGGGGGGCGGGCGGCGGGCTGGGGAGGCCGGAGAGGGCCCGGCCCTGCTCGTCTCGGCTGGGGGTGCCCCCTAGCGGGGCGCGGGCGCCGGCGCAGCCGTTCCCGCCGGACGGCTCGCGCCTCGGCGTCCGCAGTTACGCAATGGAAAGAGCGTAAGCCCCGCCCTCCCTCCTGGGCCTGTGGGAAAACGGCGGCGGCTTTGTCGGATTTTCCCCCCTTTGTTTTGGTAATCCTCACTCAAGGGTACTTCTCCGTTGGTATTTGGAGAGCGGATCGATGGGAGGGAGGGAGGAAGAGAAACATTGGTGAAAAGCACTTATTGATTGCATCCTGTACGCGCCTCCAACTTCGCTGTGGATGGAACCTGCAACTCAGGAATAAACCTTCCTTGCGTGGGCGTCGTTCTAACCACTGAACCCTCGGGCCAGGGCGGGATTTTTTCCCCTTTACCTGCCTTTCTGTGATGCTTTTGAAAAGATAAATTGGATTTCCCCCTCGACCCTAAGAAAATGGCCCAGTAGCTGGGCAAATAGTAATATTTTGAAAACAAAGTATAACAACTTTACAATTTTGGCATGTCCAAAAAAGGAGACATTTTAGTTCCTAGAGTTAAATTGTCATTTTTTAACTAACGACAGATTTGGCAATTAAGTTGTTTATCTAGTTCTTGATCTGGCTCATTTTACAGTTGAGGACACTTAAGCCCTGACAAGTTCAGTTGCCTACTAATTTTTTCTCAAGTAATGTAGGTTTCCTGTGTAATTTCTACCAAAATATTGTTCTCATTAGTGTAAGAGTAGACTGATACAAATTGATTTGGAAAAATTCTACAGATTTTGGAAGAACACTTGTAGTATTGACTAACTATCTGAATTCAGTGTTGGTAACGGAAAGCGACCTGTAATACAAGAACCAAGTACACTGGAAGCCACCTTGCAGTGGGCAAGACTGGTTTTGGCTTCAGCTGTTCAACTTGGAGCATTTTAGCTTTGTAACATTGATCCCCTTTCAGGTGAGTATTGGCCCTGCAATTTGGATTGTGATGCCACTGTTAGAAAGGTAAAAATGATCAAAGTTCCCAGAGCAAAAGTTGAGACAAATATATTCAGGAAATGCATTAAAATAATAAGGTTCAGAATAACTTTCTAAGAAGTTACAAATAATGTTAATGGAGACAGTTGGGGAGTAAGTTGGAGATTTTTGTTAAGAAACTTTGAATATTTGCTTTTATTTTTTAAAAAAATATATATATTTTATTGATTTTACACAGAGAGGAACTGAGGGTTAGAGAGCTAGAAATGTCGACCAGAGAGAAACATCAACCAGCTGCCTCCTGCACCCCCCCCCCCGCCCCCCCACTGGGGATGTGCCCGCAACCAAGTTACATGCCCTTGACCGAAATCGAACCCGGGACCTTTCAGTCCGCAGGCCAACGCTCTACCACTGAGCCAGATGGTTATGGCTGAATATTGGCTTTTATCGATGGCTTGAGAATAAAGTTGATCTGGAGGGGAGAACTGCTTAATTACCTCGAAGTGACTCTTAGGAGTTAGCAGTATCTTGGTCATTTTAGGCTTTGCATGCGATCTACTTTGTTGAGGGGCACAATAGGCATTTCATCAATATCACCCAGAGGTGATTTTAAATAAATGTTAAATTCTGTATTAACGGTTGTTTTCTTTCCAGACTGCAAAATTCAAAATGGGGCTCAAGGTATACGGTTCATCTACACCAGAGAAGGCAGACCAAGTGGCGAGGCTTTTGTTGAACTTGAATCAGAAGATGAAGTCAAATTGGCCCTGAAAAAAGACAGAGAAACTATGGGACACAGATATGTTGAAGGTTTGATTTATGTTGCCCTAGTAACAGTAAATAAGCATTAAACAGATACGTATTTTATCCCTCCTGAATTTTAGGTATTTGACCGCATGGAAATGGTCACCTAAGGGTTTGTGGCAGCTCTTCCTAGATTATCTAAAGACCTAGGAAGTCTGAACTTTGTTCTCTAACTTTCCAAAGTTGACTAATTCTAAGCACCTCTTTCAGTATTCAAGTCAAACAACGTTGAAATGGATTGGGTGTTGAAGCATACTGGTCCAAATAGTCCTGACACGGCCAATGATGGCTTTGTACGGCTTAGAGGACTCCCCTTTGGATGTAGCAAGGAAGAAATTGTTCAGTTCTTTTCAGGTATGTAGTCATGTTTGTTGCTGAGCAGTGAGTTTTGGCTAGCTCCTGGCAACATGATTTAATAGACCTTAAAGTTTAGCAACTTAGATACTTAAACAGGTTGTGAGTATATGCAGATGAATTAATGTTTTCTTCCTGGAGCCCTTCATATAATTTAGACCCATCTTAATGGTGGAAATTTTGTATTTTGAAAATGCTAACTTGCCTGTATTTAGTATTGTAGTTCAGAGTAGATCTTTGAGGATTGTCCTCAACAGCTTAACTACTTTCCTCATAGTGCTGTTCAGCAGAGTACTTCAAGTCACAGGTAAGATCCCTGACGTTAGATTAGTGTGAGTTAGGTGGTTGTATATATTGTAAGAGATGTTGGGTCTTGGGACCAGAAATATCTCTTAATGATCTAATTCTCTTGATGCAGAAAAACTGGTTTAGCCAGGAAATTCTAAATTTGCTAAAAGTCCAAGAATAATTGAATGTATAGTCTTAATATCTGAAATACAGAGAATGTTTTAAAGTTGTTCTGGGCCTGAAGTATTTGAATGTTTTTTTTTTTTTGTTTTTTTTTTGCTGAAGAGCTGATAAAATTGCATGTTTAGTAGAATGTTTGATCCTATATCTAAACTACTATTAATTGATATTCTTGATGTCATAAACTGGAATTAAAAACAAGAAATCCTCTCATGACTTAGGGTAGTATAAATTAAAATCCTGACTGTTAGATATGTGTCAAGTCCTAATATTTTGCCAGAATTTTTGAGATCAAGTTTGTTTTTATTGTTTTATCTAAATTGGTGAGAATTTAATGCTGTCAACTGTCAACGTTAAATATGAACATAATTTCATATTTTCTAGGAAAGTGCTTTAAGCCCTTTTTGTAAGCTTGGGAATGTATCCACGGAAAGGATTTTTCATAGACGGAATTTCCAGAAGTGAATCATACTACTGTTAGAACATAAAAGTGCATGATTGTTCTGTCTAGATCAGTTTGTTTGTTTGCTGAAAGTTTAGATTGTATGTTTGTCAATGATATACTTAAGCAATGTTTCAATTTGTATATAAAATGTTTAAATGTGTAAAATTTTAAAAATTTGAAGTTCCACTAACGTAAAACATTGAACTATAAAAATGAGGTAACAGGTGTTTCTTGAATTTAGTAAAACTGTTGTATTTGTTTGAACCTATTAAATTGTGTAATTTTCAACATTGAGTAGATAAGAGTGTTTTTAATTTGTTGAATTCTTAATTCATCCTATGCTCAGCACGTTTTTTCTTTGTGCCATGGGTGTGTTAAGAATTATCTTAGCCATGATGGAACTTCATATTACTGCAATGCATATGTAAAGAGTACTTGTTGAAAGCATACCGTTCACCTAAAGTTAACGTTCTGGTTTATGTAAAGCTATAAGAAGAATCATTTCTGGGCTTGTGATGTTAATGTTGCCCCCCTACTGGGGTTATTTGTCCTTGGGTTGAAGGGTTGGAAATCGTGCCAAATGGGATAACATTGCCGGTGGACTTCCAGGGGAGGAGTACGGGGGAGGCCTTCGTGCAGTTTGCTTCACAGGAAATAGCTGAAAAGGCTCTAAAGAAACACAAGGAAAGAATAGGGCACAGGTGGGGATGGATGGCTGGTGGACTGGTCACTTTTCTTATGGTAAAACGTCAGCCCATATTCTCTCTGCTTAGGAGTAATAAACCTGTTTCCTAGTCCCAATTAATCAATGTTTGGCCACAGTTTTCAAACTTTAAACTTTGCCTAAGTCCCATAATGCATACAGATTAAATTTTAGATTTTAAAATGAGAACTTCTCAGTTAATTTGGTCTTCTTTATATTTTGTAAGATATATCTATTTAACCCCAATCAATTGAGTTGAGAGACTATGGCTTATAAAAAAATGTAATGCAAACCTGACTTTAGCTGTAACACACCCACATAGTAAATTAATATTACCATAAGAAAATGTGATACTTTCTGATCTTGTTTTTAAAGTTGAAATGCAACAAACTTTTCTTGCTGTATAAATATTCTGCATATATATTAATAAGCATAGCTTTCAAGAAATTGTCACAAAAGGTTTTATTCTCTTCGCTTGTGACTATTTTCCATTGAAGCATGCGCTTACCTATGCTGATTCCTACTAAAAGCATAGGCTGGGGTGTTATTGGCGAGAGAAAGTGTGTAGTGTGGGCTAGACTGTTGGTGGAGGCTGGCTTTCTAGCCCACTTGCTATACGTGCTGCCAAAGGATTTAAGATGAAATGTTGAAAGTTGAGTGGAATCTTTTCCCTCCTAAGACATTTATTTATAGTACTCCTCTCCACCCTAAAGGTGGGCTTCTCTGCTTTAGAGGAGTGAGTTTTCTATAAAGTTTACATGAAATAATCTTAAAATTGAGTGAATTTCTGGTCATTGCCGATGCAAGTATAAGAAATCTGGCTTTAAATATTAGTCAGTTTCATGGCGATGACTACATTGTTTTCTTGTGTAACTAAATACCTGTCTGACATGAACTAATTTTTCCTCTCCCCTCCCCATTCCCTTCTTCATGAACAATGCTTTAGGTATATCGAAATTTTTAAGAGCAGTCGAGCAGAAGTCAGAACTCACTATGACCCACCACGAAAGCTTATGGCCATGCAGCGGCCAGGTCCCTATGACAGACCTGGGGCCGGCAGAGGGTATAACAGCATTGGCAGGGGAGCTGGCTTTGAAAGGATGAGGCGTGGAGCTTATGGTGGAGGTATGTGAGAAGATGCACGTGTGAGGAGGGTGGTTCCTGTGTGTTTTCATTTGAGTGATTGTACTTTTTGTCTTTTAGGTTATGGCGGCTATGATGATTATAATGGCTATAATGATGGCTATGGCTTTGGGTCGGATAGATTTGGAAGAGGTAAGGTAAGAATTGAATTTCTCAACCAAAGGCTATTTACACTCTGTCCATCTAGACCTCAATTACTGTTTTTCAGGAATGTCTGACCACAGATATGGGGATGGTGGCTCTACTTTCCAGAGTACAACTGGACACTGTGTGCACATGCGGGGATTACCCTACAGAGCTACGGAGAATGACATTTATAATGTAAGTATGAGATGATTCTTGAGCCAGCTGTAGCCCCAGGGATACAGGAAGAGTTTGGTGGGGGTATGCACTGCACCGTGCTTAGCTGCGCCTAATTCTGCGTTCTCATGAGTGCGAGGGGTACTCAGCGTTACAAAAATTATAGAAGGGGTACACGTATGTCAAAAGTTTGGAAACACTACAGTAGAGCATTAAAACCTGGGGGTCTTAATTCTGCCTAAGTGAAACAGGATGTTACACATTTTTTGTAACAGGAAGTTGACTTGATTCTCTGAAATACCTTGTATCTAGTTTTTTTCACCGCTCAACCCTGTGAGAGTGCACATTGAAATTGGGCCTGATGGCAGAGTAACTGGTGAAGCAGATGTCGAGTTTGCAACTCATGAAGACGCTGTGGCAGCTATGTCGAAAGACAAAGCAAATATGCGTAAGTGCGATTTAACTGTCTCGGCGAGTCTTCACAAGTGGTTATGTGAGTAACATGCTAGAGGAATAGAACAGAAAGGATGTTCAAGAAATGGGTTTGCTGATAGGTTAGCTCTTTGGGGATGTGTTAAAATTTTGTGGGTTTTAAAAATTATTGTGACAATGTTTGTGGTACAAACATTGACTTGGAAGTATATCCAATAAACTTAAGGCAATTTAGGTGAACAATTTAAGATAAAAGGCTAGTTTTGGAAAGCTGCATAATTAAAGTATCTCAACTGAGAAGCAGCTAGAATTTTTTTATACCAGAATATATTTGAAGTTTAAATCTTAAGAACTTAGTATTCTTTCACCAACAAACATTTTCAATTTCTTTTCTTCTCATTTCAGAACACAGATATGTAGAACTCTTCTTGAATTCTACAGCAGGAGCAAGCGGTGGTGCTTACGGTAGCCAAATGCTAGGAGGCATGGGTTTGTGTAAATATCGCTTTAGTGTCTTTTTTTTAAAGCTAACCTTGTATGCCTTTTCTCTCATTTCAGAACACAGATATGTAGAACTCTTCTTGAATTCTACAGCAGGAGCAAGCGGTGGTGCTTATGGTAGCCAAATGATGGGAGGCATGGGCTTGTGTAAATATCGTTAGTTTTTTTAAAAACCAAAACATTTATATCTGTATAAGTCAATTATATAAGTTAATTTCTATTTCATGAGTTTATTAGCATATTAAGTTAGGCAAAGGGAAAAGTTTTATTTGAATTTTGGGTCTGACTTAAATCCTGCGTTATATAAAACTATTTAGAATAGATAACTAATTTTAAATATTTTGTGGGGGGTGATGCAGAAACAAGTGGAATTGTCTATATAGTATAAATCTAAAGTGAGTGGCTTAGCAAAAAAACAGGATCAAAATAACTTATTTGGACATAATTTGTTGGGCATAATTAGGTGTTCAGTGATAGCTATGTAATGACATAGCCTTACTATATCAAGTTATGGGGATCAACCCCACTAATTTTGGTTAAACAGTTTCAAAAGGTTTTCTCAAAATGCCTCAAGGAATCATGTGGATTTAGTCCTGCTGATGGGTGTTTTTGGCTAGTTGATTTTATAAATGACTAGCTCAAATGATAGAAAGGTAGTCTGTTCATAGAAAATAGGCAAAGGCTTACAGTAATGTAAGATCAGGACTCGAAATCATAGATTTAGTTACAAGCCCGGTACCACCAGGTGCCACATTACATAGCAAACAAGGTTCTAATGGTCTCTTAACTTCACAGCAAACCAATCCAGTTATGGTGGCCCAACCAGCCAGCAGCTGAGTGGTGGTTATGGAGGTGGCTATGGCGGCCAGAGCAGCATGAGTGGATATGGTAAGTGTGTTTTTTAATACACTTCCAGTAAGTTTAGGTAGGATTCTTTAGTTGGGGGAATATGCAGGCTCCTTTTTTGGTGTAATTGGGTTATTAAATATATGCTTTTTGGTCCTGTTAAAAGTTTTTAATAGTTTAATTTACAGGCCCAATTATGGGGTGGAAAGGGGGAGTGTTCTATAAATTAATGTGCAACTTGGAATAATGTAGTCTGTAAATATCTGCCTCCATGTATTAAATAAATAGTTCACTTTTCCTGTCTTTTGGTTAGCATGTTAAATTCATTTTAGATGGAGGGGGAATTGAAAATAGTAAAACGTGGGTTGGGTTCAGGACCGTATTTACTAGTCAGTTAACCTAGGATTGGTTTTATTTTTTTTCAATTGGTCTAAAGAATGGTGATTTTGGTATTATAGTCTTACCCTACAAAATCCTTTTGCAGACCAAGTTTTACAGGAAAACTCCAGTGATTTTCAATCAAACATTGCATAGGTAAATATTTTCTCAAAGAATATAATTTAAATTCCCAATAGCAAATACTGATATGTTGTGCTAATACTTTTTCTATAGCAGTCAATGGCTCTGATTTAACTCCATGGAGGCTGCCATTTTGGGCACAGTGAGTTGCCGTTAGTCCCAGTCTCACTGCTGCCCGCCATGAATAGGAAAAGCAAACTGCCCCTGTGCTTCCTATTCATACACGCCATTCTGGACACACTGTTTATGGTAAAATTTTTAAAAATGCCTTGTTTAGTTTTAGAAACGAAGTAATTTGCAATTTTTGAAAAACACTAGTTTTCCTTTAAACTTAATTTTCCACGTTGATCCTGAAGCACCTGCTTTTTAACGGTAGCACGAGAGTCTGGCAAGATTTTGGTACTGCAGAGAAAAGGGGTTATTGAGACTTGTTTGGAGTCAGGAGTCCCTTTTCCCAAACATGCTTCTCGCCACTTGGACAGCAGCCATTTGTACTCAGTATTCTTTTAAAACTTTTCCTGGAATGCGATATTTTACCTGACTGATAATGTGGTACTTCTTCTGACTTGTCAAATCGATCTCTTTGCAGGCAGCCAAGGAGCAGTGAACAGCAGCTACTACAGTAGTGGAAGCCGTGCATCTGTGGGAGTGAACGGAATGGGAGGGATGTCTAGCATGTCTAGTATGAGTGGTGGATGGGGAATGTAATTGATCCTTATCACTGACTTGGTCAACGTTATTTTAAAGAAGAAAAAGAAAACCCCACAAAACTTAAACAGTTTTGCAATACCAGCTTGTGATTTATGCTTACTCTAAGTGGAAATCAGGATTGAATTAAAGACTTAAAGGTTCATTATTTTTGAACACAAATATTCATCTAGGATGTAACAACTAAGTTGAGTAAACTATAACTGTTAAACAATTTTTAGCTTTTCTCAAGTTAGTTCTATTGTAGGATGTACTTAAGCAGTAAGTATATTTAGGTTAAAGAAGTTGAATTATGTTAAATGTTGCTCTTACACCACATCACATCGAACACTGTTTGTGGAAGCATGTTGAAAAACATGCTTTTTTTGTAAAACTCAATATAGGAGCTGTGTCTACAATTAAAAGTGAAACATTTGGCATGTTTGTTAATTCTAGTTTCATTTAATAACTCCCAAGGCATGTAAGTTTAAGCTTTTTTTTTTAAGTTAATGGGGAAAATTTGAGACGCAATACCAATACTTTAGGATTTTGGTCTTGGTGTTTGTATGAAATTCTGAGGCCTTGATTTAAATCTTTCATTGTATTGTGATTTCCTTTTAGGTATATTGCGCTAAGTGAAACTTGTCAAATAAATTTTCCTTTTAAAAACTGCACATTGTCTTGTCTGTGCTTCAGTGTCATATGGACTATTTCTTGGTGCTCTATTCCTACCTGGGCGTAGGTGACAGTGGCCCATATCTCTGGCGTGACAGACAGGCTCACCAGTTGAGGCTATTGTGTAGATGTCTTCAGACTTCCCTCCAATACAAGGTAATCGTGGCTTTGGGGCCCTTGTGGATGGGCTGTGTGTACTGCCTTTCACTTGCTAAGCACTTGCACAAAGGGGCAGAAATGTCCTCACTGCTGCATGTCCACAGGCCTTCAGGCATGGCTGAGGAAGCACTACAGGCAAAGGGTGGCTGGAGCGGTCCTTCCTAAATGGATGACATCTGTTCGATATTTTACATGGATTTTAGAGGAAGGGAGAAAAAAACAGATTGATTCCACTAATTTTTGTGCTCATTGGTTGATTCTTGTATGTACCCTGTCCAGGGACTGAATCTGCAAACCTTGGTGTGTATCAGGACAAAACTTGAACCAGCTAAGCTATCCCACCAGGCTTCCTTTGAGTTTTTCTAGTCATTACCCAAGCATAGTTTCCCATTGGTTTTTAGGAGGACAGAGTGAGGAAAGACATTGATGTGAGAAACATTCATTGGTTGCCCCTGCATGACCCCTGTCCAGGGCCTGGGCCAGGGAGGAGCCTTGCCGCTTTGGCCGGAATCTAGCCGGGACACTGGTCTCTAGGACAATGCTCTTAACCTCTGAGCCAAATGGGCTAGGGCTGAGTGTTTGTATGAAGTGCCCACTTCCCCCAAACTAGAACTGTGTTTAGGAAATTCCAGAGGTAAAATAAGCTGTAGAAGAAAGGGGCTTAGGAAACAAGTTACAGGGAAAAAAGAAGGAAGTGAGGAAGGTAATGGGTGCTCCTAGGAGGGAAAACTCGTGTTTCAAAGTGAGGTTTTAATCTCATTCCTAAAGATCCAAGACCACTTAACAAGCATGTCAAACTAATGAAAACAGGCTAAATAAAGTTTAAATCTATGTGGGCCACAAAAAAAAAAAAGCTTCAATTTTTATAAGAACATAGGTTTATTTCAAGAGACATGCTGAATACAAAGGGCTGAAATAATAGTTAATATAAAAAATAATATTTTTTTCTTGAACATTACCAGGCGCTGAATAACTGCACAGATTAATGAGCATAATGCAAATAAACCTATTTTTCTTGTTCTCTGAAAGCAAAATATTTTCCGGTTGAGCACACCAAATTAGTACAAGACTAATGATGTGGCAATCAGCTGCTAAAGTGTTCGCTGTTAGTATTAGTGGAGAGAAATGGTGTGCCTGAGCCTAAGGGAGATGAATGCAACATGATTGTAGTAAAGAGTCATTAGTGACCGTTACTTATAACAGGATATTGTAAAAGTTAGGACATTATTAAAATGTTTCTCACCATTATATTGGCTGGGCCACTAAAATATTCATTGTGGGCTTGACATGAGTTTGACATGCTCGACTTAAGAGCAAAATTCAAAGACCACATTTCTTTTTTAAATTGATTTCAGAGAAGAAGGAGAGGGTGATAAAAAAAAAAAATCAGTGAATCATTGATCGACCTCCTGCACACCCTCTACCTGGGATCGAGCCCGAAACTTGAGTGTGTGCCCTTGAATCAAACCCAGGACCAGGGCTCTATCCACTGAGCCAAACCAGCTAGGGCAAGACCACATATTTCTGAAAGTAAATCATTATTTAAAGTCTGGTAGATTGTAGATTAGGGCTAAAATTTGATATTGCTAGAAAATACTCTAGCATTAGGAATTCAAAGTGTAGACTGCAGTTTGGAAACTACCACTCACTAGTCTAGAGGGTCGGTGAATTTTCATCTAATGGCATACAAACTACTGAAATCTTCAGTACACCAAAGAATAGTTTTGTGTGTTTGTCTTTTTGCCAATCTGATAAAAGGTATGATTTTTGATAGGTGTATAAAACAACACTAGTAATTGCCTACTGTTTTTGCTCTGAAGTGACTAAAAAAAACCCAGTTGCCTATCTATAATAATAAAAGGATGGTAGGCTTATTAGATTGGATGTCTTCCCAATGAAGCTGCAGCTGGAGGGAAGCCAGCCCTGGTCCTGGGTGCCTGTGGGCAGCTGGGCAAAGGCAGGCCTCTTCTTGCACGAATTTTGTGCATTGGACCTAAGTAGTAGAGGCTCCCATGCAGTCTTAGTGGCTGCTTCCATCCTGCAGCTGCAGCCCCAGCTCTGTCCAAAAGGACGTCCTAATTGGCATATTATGCTTTTATAGATTTTTTTAAGAATTGGCCAATTAGATACAATTCTGTTATATGGCCTATTGTAGTTAAAGATGGCATTCATACCAGATGGCTGTTGTATTGGCTGTTGTCATTTTTAAAATTTAATAGTCTAAGACAGTGGTCACCAAACTCGTTAGTCAACAAAGCCAAATATCAACAGTACAACAATTGAAATTTCTTTTGAGAGCCTAATTTTTAAAACTTATAATGCCACCTCTTCAAGATAGACTCGCCCAGGCCATGGTATTTTGTGGAAGAGCCATATTCAAGGTGCCAAAGAGCCCCATGTGGCCCGCGAACCGCAGTTTGCTGACCACTGGTCTAAGGGAAGAGAGGTCAGTGCCCTTGACTAAAATAGTCAGGTATTGCATGTTTTAAGAATTCTTGCAGCTCACCAGCTGGAAGTTGCTGTTTGCTCCAGACTCATTAGTTGTATTGATTAGCTGTAAAGGCTTGTACTATTTGGAGCCTGGTGTGTACGTTTTGCTCTGACAAGTGCTGAAGATTTTCTCCTTTAGTCCTGGGTGGGATTAGTTGGGTGGGGGGCTGCCTCAGTTCTAAGTCTGTAGGTGGCAGCATCGCACAGAGAAGTGCGTGGGCCCTGCTGCCTGTTCTCGGCGGACTATCTGGTGCTGCTCTGCACTGTCAGGAAAGAGCTATGGACACACAAGTATTGCAATTGGAATATATCATGTCGCTTGTCCAGCAAGTTTAGAGATGATTAATTTTTCAGTGTGAGCACTGATGATCAGCTAGTCTAAACCTAGTATTGGCTGAGTTATTAAACGTGTGTGGATTGGAGATACCTGGTATTGAGAAGGCTCAAGGAGGGTTCCATCTTGAGTTCTTCAGTTAATTTGTTTTACATAAAGAACATTCTCGTTGAAAACACTGAGGAAGTGAAAGAACTAGAAATGTTGAGTAAAGCTAGTAAGAACGATCTGGTTCTGAGGAATCTTAGGCTCCATGGGCCAGCATCCTGGAGCTTGTTGGGAATAACCAGGACCTCCAGACACAAATCTCCATGCTGCCTAACGTTAGAAGGTTGCCAAAGTTCAGGTGTGTATCTGGTGTCTGAGTGAAAAATTTTCCATGAGCTAAATATTGGTAACTGGCCCAAGGATTCTTTGTGAACAATGCTTGAACATTTGTTGCTTGGGGTTAGGAGGTGGATGAGGTTGGAGGAGAAAATAGGTGTGATTAGGGAAGAGCACTCTGTGGCACAGTGGTGGGCATGTCACGTGCTTGCTGAGCCTTCAGAATAGAACATGAGGGGGAGGTATTAGCCTGCTACCTGTGTGTGTGCAGATGAGAGCTAAGGCTCAGAAGGGAAGTGACTTGCTTAAGGTCGCCAGCAAGCTGGAGTACAAGTGGGGTGCACTG